CCTGGATGAGAAAAAGAGAAACATGTTTTTAAAGACAAAGCAACTCCCTGCCCACCCCCTCAGCTCCAGGGTGATGGGATTAAGACATGGCACTCAGAACATGATAGGATTAGCCCTCTACCCATCTAACAGCAGGGCTCACTACATTGCAAAATCTCCTGGGGACATTACATCACCCAGCAAGATTTAACCAAACCTGGGACTCAAGACAACCTACAAAGTTACCCCTGCATGACCCCATGGGAATCTGACAACCAACCAGAATATATTTCTTTCACAGGAACAGGAAGCAAGTTCAAAGCCCGAGAGGGTATAAATCTCTCTCTTTCTTTCACCTATTTGTTCAATTTTGCCAGAACCTCAAACCATGTGGTCCTGTCTACCATTAAACCATCCTTCCAAGCAGTCTCCATATTTCCAGTGTCTTTCTTCCCACTTGGAACTGAACCAGATGACCATTTCTTCCAACAATACTAGTCCCCAGAATATAAGCCTTCAAATACCTCTTCCTTGAGTTGAGATCAACATTTTTGCTGTCTGGAAACATTTTATAAGATGGATTCATAGCATTAGGGAGAATTAGTTCTTCTGTCTCCAACAGCAAACTGCATGAACCAAACAATTTGACAAAGAAATTAAGACCTACTTTGGAAGATGGCTTGGTAAATAACAAACCAATCATTAGCAGCCAGTACAGAGAACTGAACCTGAGGGCTTTCCTGGCTTTGCTTTTGAATTCTGTACAGTTAGAGCTGAATCATAAAATTGTAGTCTATAATTTGTAGAAAGTTAGCACCCACCCCTCTCCTAAAAGAATGAAATATTCTAGGAAATATTAAAAAGACAGAATATTATATTTATCTAGATGAGAAAAGGAAAAACATGTTTTTAAAGACAAAGCAGCTTCTTGCAGCTCCCTGCCCCCCTACAGCTGCAGATTGGGATTAAGACATGGCCCTCAGGACATTATAGGATTAGCCCTCTACCCATCTCACCACATGGCACCTGGGAAGATTACATCACGAGGCAAGATTCAACCAAGTTACCCCTGCATAGCCCCATGGGAGCCTGACAACCAATCAGGATACATTTCTTGCCACAGAACAGAAGCAAGTTCAAAGCCCAACAGAGGTTATAAATATTTCTCCCTCTCTCACCCATGTGCTTTTTTGCCCAGGACCTCAATGTGGTCCAGTCCACCATTAAAACCATCTTTCCAAGCAGTTGCCATGTTTCCAGTGTCTTTCTTCCCACTTGGAAGTGAACCCAGATGGATAGTTCTTCCAACAAATTGCAAAACTGCAAAACTGTCTTAATTACTGTTACGTTATCTTTAAAAAAAACACTTTTAAAGTCAGGGGCAGCCAATTGATTATTCACTAATGCAATTTTATAGTATGAAGTAAACATTTAAAAAATTTCAACTGAAATAGACAAACTCCCTCAATATACTATAGGCTTCTATGCATGTGTAAAATCCGTTCCCATATTTTAGGTAAAATACGATATATAAATTATTATTTTATACATATGCATGCCTAAAAGTCTTTGTTATTTTATGTAAGTGGCAAGCCCATTGAGATTTAATAGACATTCTATTTTAATAGACTTTTCATTAGTCTATTAAATTGAAGATTCATTTATTTCATTCTCAAGCTATATGATTGTCTAAAAACACTGTTTCTTTACATTATCAAGTGCAGAGTATAAGCTGCACCACTTCTTGGGGAAAAGCAATGGCCAAAAGCCCTTTTCAGTGCATCACCATCCAGCAAGGCTCAACCAAGCCTGGAACTCAGGACAGCCTACAGAGTTCCCCTGCATGGCCCCATGGGAGTCTGACACCCAATCAGAATACAAGCTTAAATTCAAATCCCAACAAAGGTTATAAAACCCAGGCGCTCTCAGCATGAGCCCTTTTTTCTCTTTTCCTTCACCTTGAAGCATGTGATCATCCTTTTCACTTTGGAGCTTCAAGCCATGTGGTCCTGCTGTCCACCATTAAACCATCTTTCCAAATAGCCTCTATGTTTCCAATGTCTTTTTCCCCACTTGGAACTGAATCCAGAAGGATATTTCTACCAACAGAGATAAGCTCAGATTAATGTACTTGAAATGATGAACAATTTATGTCCACCATCTATAGAAACTAACTGGAATTAATGCTGGAATCCATACCACCTGTTAATATATCAATGTCCTTCAATATATAATGTTGGTCATACTGAATACAATATTCTGACATTTCATTACCTTTTTTTCACATCCCCAGGATCTGTGGCTAATATAGAGGTAAACATAAAAGTTACGGCTTCCTGTTTTTAGTTTTATCAACCTCTGACACTTAACAAAATGTGAAGAGTTGAATACAGAGCTGAATGATGGAAGAATACCAGGAAGACACCCAAGGATTAATTAATTCAAAAACAATGGATAGCATAGTGGATGGAGAAGCTATATAACTAAATGCCCATCTTCCTTTTTATTTTCTATTCCCATCCCCATTAAGATATTCTCAAAGTTATGTAGCAGCTGAGTAAAGAAATAAGAGGAGAAATGGTTGTCTTTCTGCTGACAATGCAAAAGCATAAACTAATCCTGATTGTTCCACTTTACTATATTAACATCTAAATGGCCTTATCTTTTACCCTGCAGGTGCTTCATACCTAAGGAAATAGAGAAAGTTATTGTGACTTGCCCAATAATTCAATATAAGCTTTTAAAAATCGCCATCCATACAACTATACTATAGGTGTTTTTTGCAATCTTGTAATTTTTCAATATATTGGCAAGACAGAGACAATGTAATAAATAGTTCAAAGCAATTTTTGTTTGTGTAAACAATGTGAATTGTTTACAAGGTAAAATGTCTCAGCTAAACCCAAAAGAAATCACAGTTGTAATAGTTACATTCACACATGCTAAACTTTGCTAATTTTAAATTTGGTTCATTTCAGGTACATTGTACTACATATCACTATAGAACCTTGACTACGTCATAATATACAGTATTTTCCATGCACTGGTTGAAAATGAGTTAAGTCAAATACTTCATAAATAATCTCAGAATGTTTTATTTGGTTTGTATTTTCCTCCACTGAACACTACTTCCTTTATTTTCCGTTATGTACTATTCTTAGGTAGCAAAATAAAAAAGTGATATTAAACACAAAAAGCAACTTCAGCTTTTGCAGGCTAGATTTTTAATAAAATACATGAATACCAGAACTTGGCTTTATGTAATATACCAAAAGAAAGTCTGAATTGTAGACTGCCTGAGATTTATCCTGACTCCGCATAAAGTCAACGTTTATCATTGTTAACTGAGTAAATCAAAATTACGGGGGTTCATGTATCAAGGAAAGCCATAATGTAGCTTCTAGGATTCAGTTTTACATATTGGAGAATCCAGTCATTATGATTTCTGAAACATAACTTAAGTTAGCATTAGACATGGCATTAGGCATTATTTAGTTAACAAACCATAGTTACTGCTATGTGTAAATCCCAAAAGAATCTGAGTCTTCCTCATACATGAAAGCATAAGAATATCTTTAGGCCAATCATTCTTGTCAGCTAGAATTACCACAAATTGTTGTAGGGATAAAATAGTAATTGCTATGTAGACCACCTTGATTAAGAGTCATAATGTAAAAATATATAATAAAGCTTAGATCTTCATTAAGCTTTTCAGTACTTGTGCAAAGTAGTTTTCAGGTCATGAAAATGTGCAACTTCATCCAAATATATTTATTAAATATTGTAAAATTTAAAGCACATACTATTTCTCCTTAATTCTCTAAGCACTCAATAATTAGCAAAACATAAAAAATATGGTGTGGATCAATCTTCACTGGTATACAAATCTTTAACAAAACTTAGCATCTCCTGTATTGCATTCACAGGTTATATCAAGCAAGCCACCAGGCAATATATTGTGAACTCAGCTATACTGGTTTATAAATTTCTTCTTCCATTCAATTGTGTCCAATTCTCAGAGTACCTGGAAAAGCCTCTGCATTTTCTTGGCAAGGTTTTTTATGTGGTTTGCTACTGCCTCCTGGCTAGGGCTGAGAGTCACTGTAGCCAACTCTGAGTCTAAGATGGGACCAGAACTCAGTCTCCCCATTGCTAATTTGATGCATTAACCGCAACAGCAAACGGTCTCTCAGTTTGTAAACTACAGTGTATATGTGAGCTCGGCTACTGTGGATTCAAAATAGCCATTTCAGTTTAATGCGTGGACTCTGGCTTGTTTTGTCTAATGGCATTCATAATTTATAAATTCAGCTGCCATTAAAAATTAGCTTCAAAAGCTGGTTAGTCTCTGCTTACATTTCTCTCTCTCCATATACTAGTGTCACCTGAGGACCTATTTGCAGTCATCTAGAAAACAGGATAGTAACCTAAAAGTTTCACCCTTTTCAGCCATTTGCCTGAAAAAGGGCAGTTTGGTTTCCAACATGGAGGCTAAGAAGAATTAGCTTAGGCAGCCGCACAGATGGACTTCAGTGATTGGCTCAACCCTCCAGGTACTTTCTCAGTTTGAGGCAGTTACTGGCTGTTTTCCCGCCAATCCCAAATCTCGCTCCCTTTCAGTCTGGATGAATTCCAAGTTGCCATGGTTCCAATCTCTTAAATCTTCTTTCGTTTGATTCGCTCCTTTTCTAAAAGGCGGACCTAGACCTTTTCAGTTTCTGATTTGTTTTCCGATAAAATCTAGACAAATCTTCTCGAATTCCATTGGATAGATATCTTTTTCTCCTTTATTTGAACTTTCCTTAAAAAAAAAAAAGAACGTTGGCTATTGGTTGGATGGAACGTCTATCTGTGACGCAACACTCTTTCTTAAAGATACGGTCCAATCGGGCAGAGAACAGTAAAAAGACAGAAAAAGACTCTTCAAATAGTTTGCCCCCAACGCCCCGCCGCTGTCCCCCCCTCGCCTCAAATTACCCGTGGTTCAGTCGGCGAAGTGGGAAGGGCATAAGAGGGAGGGGCAACGAAGCGAGCGAGCAGTCCCACTCCTTCTGTGACGGTGAGCTGCGCGCGCTGCTTTCGTTGTCTAGCGACCTCGCGTGCGGCGCCTTCCAGATCCGAGTGGTTCCAAGGCTCGCGAGGTCCAAGTCCTCCACGCGCCTATATTTTCGCGGCTTTTCGGCTTGGTGCCGGCAATAATAAAGCAGTAGAAGCAGCAGCAGAAGCTCCGGGACGGCAATGTCGGCCTCTGGGACTGCAACGGTCTCTGCTCCTGCCGAAGCCGGCGGAGGCGGCGCTGCCGGGGACAAGCAACGCTCCTCCTCCGCTCCTCTCAACGTGGAAGGTATCGACCTGCTGGAGAAATGCGGCGTGTGCCGGGAGCGACTCCGCTCCGAGCGCGACCCGCGGCTCCTCCCTTGCCTCCACACCGTCTGCAAGGAGTGCATCAAAGTCGAGCCTGTCTCGGGCGGCAACAACAAGGATGGGCAAGGTAAGAAGAGACCTTGGGAAATGGCGAGCCTCGTGGGAGGGGAGAGCCCGGGAACTCTCTTCTGGGGTAGAGCACGGAGAGGAATGCTGGCCCTCCTTTGCAAAGGGAGAAAGAAGGGGAAAGGTTTTCAATGGGGCGGAGATGCAAACGTGCTTTTTGCTGGGAGCTTTTATTCTGTTCTCCCCGTTGTTTGCTTGCAGTATCAGATTTGTCTCTGGATGGGGTTGGAGGCGCTTCTTGCCCGCGGGTTGGATCCCGCGCCTAAAGGGACGACCTGGGTTACGTGGTGGTGTGTGTGTGTTTACTGGGGGTGGCGGGGGGGCTCCCGCGCGGTTGTGCCTTGGACAAGATTGGTATGGAAAAAAAATGGAGGAAAGGGAAAAGGGGCGGTGAAGGAAGGCGGGAGGTGGTGGTTGAGGGGGAACAGACACGAGGCGGTGGATGGATGGATTCCGTCCTTGAATCTTTCTTTTTGTGCGGCTTGGGCTCCTTAGCAAGATAACTTGTTGCCGGGAAGGGAGGGGGGAAAATTTGCATTACCTTGCTTTTGGTTAAGCAGGGAGGAAGGGGGTTGGGGAGGGAATGGTTTGGCTTCCCCGCGGGAAGGACGGGATGTATGGCGGCGGGGGATGCAGCCGGAGAGGCGTGGCCATGCGCATTCCGACGAGTCGAGTTTGCTCAGCCCTGGAGCGCCTATCGCGAGAAGTGGAGCCCGGGAGGGGATGGGGGGGGGGGGAATGACGACGCTACAGCACCCCACCCCCCTTTTTTACATAGTCAAGGCTGCTTTTATCAAGATGAAAGCCTCTCCAAGTATCCGCTGCTCTTCATTTTAAAAAGGAAGTTGCTTCCTTAATCCCGTGTACTTGGCTATGTTCTCACGACAAGCGGGCTGTAAAATCGCAAACGCGTGTGTTTTAGCTAATTCATTGTATTTGGGGGCCCGCCAGCCCCCTTCTCAAATTTATATTGCTTGATAAACCGCATCTAAATTACCCATAAATGTTTTAAGCGAATAGAGACTTTCTCTGCATTTTGGACATCCAGTTCATTTGTTTTTATGTGGAATTATAACATTGTCAAAGAATTATAAGGAAAACGCACCACTTTTAAGTCTCTAAAAAAGTTTGACTGTAATAAATAGTTTATAAAAGGGGAGAGGCAATTTAAATCCTGATGGCAGTTTATAGCAAGGAAGATTAGAGTTTACAATTGAATTAACTCTGAAGATTTTGATAATTACAATTTCATAAGAAATGTGCATTTCATGTTATTTTTAAGAGTCTTAATGTATATTTTATATTGGATCTAGGTATTTTATTTTAATTTTTTTTTAAAAAAAAAGATGGAGTAGATTTGGGCAATTTATACACCTGCCTAATCACAAATACTGGAGCTTTAAAGAATGAATAAACAAATCTTTCAGTTCTTTCCCGATTTTCACCTCATATTTTTCTTTGGGGGAAAAATGTCATAATCCCCCACCCCCACCCCCCAAAAAAACTTTTAGTTGACAAAATATTTCGGTTGTTTCATACTACAGTGTTCAAGTACCAGCTTAAGAGACCCAAGATTTGTTGTACTGTTCCTTGTCTTCTGCCTTTCTGCTGAAAAGTTGCTTAATTGTGTTCTGTTTTTTGTTGTATCATTCCTTCTATGCAAGCTGTTTTGTTTTGGTTTTCTTCCTAATTTAGCTGCTATCCCTTTTCAGCATATCTCCAGGTAGTGAAAAACAATCTATTATTCAGAACAAGACTTGTAGACTTCAACTCCCAGAATTCCTTAGCTAACATGACTGGAGGAGGAATTCTGGGAGTTGTTTTAAAGCTGTCAAGTTTGAAGTCTTCTGATTCAGAGCATAGGGGCAGGAATGGTCTTTGCCCAGAACTCTGCTAGACTTCACTGAGATGGTTTGTTTGTCCTTCCATCTCTCATTTGATGCATAATAAAGAAAAAAAACGAGAGTGGTTTCAGGAGGAAATTTAACTTCCAGAAAGAAGAGAGATAGATCCTGCCATATCTTATTTGGTTTCTGTTTAACTGTTCAATTAAAAGTTATTACTTTTTGAGCAAAACTTTCTGGAGAGATGATTCAATCTGGCATAAATAACAGGAACTCATGTTTTGCATATTGCAGTCAAGCAAAACAATGTTATTGCATATAAAGGTAAAGATACATTTCAGGAAAATGTTTAAAGTGGAATTGTATCAACGTCTCCTCTTCCAGAAATAAAATATATCTGTTCTCTTTTAGAAGCCTGGAGAGAAGTTGGCATCAAAAGAAAGTGGGGAAGTGATGGCTGGATAAGTAAGGAATTCTAAAAATAATTGGGAGGGCAGACTGCTGTGGAAGGGAAGTCTTGGTAATGAAGAGGGTCAATTATCAGATAAATTTGAACACACCTGTTCACAGTCAGGCAAGGTCCACCTCATCTTTATTAAAATATCATGGATGACAATCATGTATCCTTTATAGATTTTATGTATCTCAAACCTATAGTGGAAAAGGTTGGACACATAAGAGGCAGTATCATCAAACCCTAACATCAGTCTTAGACACTATTATTTATGGTAACATTTCTGAGTTATGTCAGTTGAATAAAAAAAAGCACCTAATTTTTAAAAACCCACCTCACCATAAAATCATATAATAGCAAATTCCTGAATGGAAATTTTCTTCAAATACAGATGATTTCATTGTAACAAGAATCAAAGAACTACCTTTTAGTGATTTATTGATTGAAAGGACATTAATTATCTTAAGATTTGTTTATTGGTTTAACGGTATAGATTATAGTATTAAAAATTATAGTCTTCAGTGCAACCTGAGTGAAACACAAAGTTAACCTGCCAGAAATAAGGACCACAATATGTACAAGCATTCCCACCTTTGCATTATAACATTTTTCATTTTTCAGTGTAATCTGGTTCCTGATTAACTTTCATCTAGGCATTTAAAATAAAAAAATCCCAAAACTGCCCAAATTTATGGTTATGGAACCTTTTGAAAACTGGGCTTGGATATACAGGTAATCCTCAACTTACAACAGTTCATTTAGTAGCTGTTTAAAGTCACAGTGGTACTGTGACATGACCATTTTTCACAATTACAATGTCTGTAACATCCCCATGTCATGATTTACATTTAGATGCTTGATAACTGATTTATATTTCAAAATGTTCTGTTTGAATAATTTATAGCAGACAAAAAGGTAGACAAGACAGAATCTGTCTGGCAAGATAATTTTCTAGATAAATGCCCCAGAGCCATATAGAACTTTATACAATTATAACTTCATTTGAAAGCACTGAAAATCAAAGAAATCCTGGTGATGACAGCACTGGATCTGCCCAATAAACATGCATCTGACCCTGCTTATTCTTTTATTCTTTTGAATTTTGTGTGTTTGTGTATGTGTAACAGAAAAAGATAGAATGCAGCCGCTGAGAACTGTTTACAATCCTTCCATACCTTCACCAAGACATGCACTGTATTGGTTAACTTTTATAAGTACAGATTGGAGGCAGGCTGGGAGAACAATAGATAATTTCATCACACAAAAAATTATGGGGATAAGAGTACAGACAAAGAGAAATGGTGCGTGTTGTGCTGACGGTCAGAGAAGAGTTGGCTATAGTTTTAGGCCAGGAGTCTTCAAACTTGACAGCTTTAAGACTTGTTGATTTCAACTCCTAGAATTCCTCCTCCAGTCATGTTAGCTCAGGAATTCTGGGAGTTGAAGTCCACAAGTCTTAAATTTGCCAAGTTTGAAGACCCTTGTTTAGGCTCTTGGAAAGGAAGAAGTGATGGCTGGCAAATAATAACAGATTAGTAACTTTAACTGCTGAAAACAAACTTGTTCCAGAGTCAGGCAAATTGCTGAAGGATTTCAAAAGGCTACTAAAGAAAGGAAGTAACCAAGTAACATGTGGGAAGATAATCCATTGTGAGATCATTTTCCAAAGGAAGATCAAAAGAACACAAATGTCCTACTAGCCAAAAGTGCCTGTCAAGTATAATTAATATGCTTAATTTTTAAGAGAATGGGGGTGGTTGGGTGGGTTTACAAGTACCTTCTAATTGTATAGTTTTAACAAATACACTACAGGCCAAAATAGTTAACTTAGAAATGCTTGAACAGCTATTCATAAATCAGATCACTGCCTCCTTATGACAAAAGAGATGGAAAGGCAGCAGGAGAATTGGGGAGAAACAGGATGTAACGTTTTAGCTGAAATGCTGCTTCCTTAAAAAAAAATCTGCATTGCTGGATGAAACACATTGCTTGCCTTATAAATAAAAGAAGAAAAACCTCAGAAGGTCTTCAGAATAGTTTGGTTAGTATAGGGTTCGCCAACCTTTTGGACCTCAGGGATCACCAAACTCATAATTTTAGATCCCAGGGACCACTAACATGTTATGTGGGCATGGCCTAATTTGTGGGTATGGCTTGGTCATGTAACAACTGGGCATGGCGTATGTAAATATTATAAATATATAAATATTGAATTTGTTATGTTAAAAAAGAGCAACTTTTACCCAAAATCAGGCAAAGTAGGCAGGCAGATCGAGTTGCTCACAGAATCACAGATTCGTTCAGAGATCTATCTGCCATTGGCTAGCTCAGTCTGTCACATAAAATTTGCTTGCAAGCAAACTCATAAAATTTGCTAGTAAGCAAACTCACAAAATTAACTCACAACACACCATGTATGTAAATATTGAATTTTTTATAAAAAAAAGAGCAACTTTTACTCAAAACCAGGCAAAGCAGGCAGATTGAGTTGCTCACATCGGCTACCTGAGTCTCTCACATCGGCTACCTGAGTCTCTCAAATTTGCTTGCTGTGAGTCTGCACTGAATTTGCTTGCAAGCAAACCTTCAGTCCTAAGGGAGGTTCAGCTGTGCTTAAAAGCAGAGCCGAAGATCTAAAGACTAGCTAGAAAGCAAGAAATCGAACCATTTTCTGCTTCCTAGCTAATCTAAATCTCCCAGTAC